TGGCTTGCAAAGTCCTTCATGCATGTTCCCCATCTCTTGGCATTCCCCCCCTGAGCTTCTTGTGGCTCCCCTTCCTTGCCTCTGAGCCTTCGTACAAGCTCTTTCTGCCTGAATCTGTTTCTCTCTCCTTTTCCTTCAAACTGGCTAATCTCTTCTTCCCCCAGGAAATCTTTTCTTATGCTCTCTTCACCCCTTGATTGATTTTAGGTTCTCACAGTACAGTGACATGTATCCCATTGTTTTAGGCAAAAATGACTGATAGATCCTCACTTCCTCCAACTGGTGGGCAGAGTATGACATAACCTGCATCCTGGAAATACCTGAGTACCTAACCAGGCACCTTGTATGGACATATACATTGACTAACCAATCAGTACCTGCCAAATACCCCAAACCCTTGCCCTAGGCCTGAGTGACTAACTGTGTACCTTATATGGACCATATTCTAAGAGCCCACTCCTTCCCATTCCTCCCCTCAAAAGGTGTGCTCACCTCTGCACGGGTTGCTGCTCTCCCTTTACGAGACAGCCCGGCAGGTTTTCCCCCTAATAAAGCCTGTAATCCTGGTTTTTGGCTCCCCACTGGTCTTTCCCTGACGACCTAACCTCCAGTTTTCGGTTCTCACTCTCTTCTCTCAGACAGTCATGTCAACAAAAGAGGGTGGTGTTGCTGTCCTTGGATAATCAAGGAGGAACCATTTAAGAATAGCATGGTTCAGGGAACGCTGCCAGGACCTTGGCGACTTTGACCCTGACTTTTCCTCTCTTAGAATTGAAATGAGGTATCAGTTATCCTACCACATGGTATTGTTCAAAAAATTGCACTTCATGTGGGTTAACTTTAACGATAAAAATGAAAGTATTTATATTTCAGGCTCTCCTTGAATAACTTCAGTTATCCATAAAGTTTTGTATATGCAACCCTCCATTTTTTTTTAAACTTATTGAGAGAGACATTGATTTGTTGTTCCATTTATTTATGCATTCATTGGGGATCGAACCTGCAACCTTGGCATATCAGGACAACACTGCAATTTGACCAAAGCCTCCATTTATTTCTATATTTCTGCAATAGCCATTGTTGCTCTGTGGTTTTCAGTCAATTAAATGTCTAAGTTTTAGACCAACTCATTAGTATTTTCTTGCATGGTCACCTGACAATGTGTTTCACTTCTTTGGTCAGTGATTGGGAAGCCCTTACCATCATTTATACGTCCAACCCGCGTCCCCCCAAACCACCATCACACACACACACACACACTTTTAGATGGGTCATGTCTGCTTCTTGTTTGATGCATTGAGACACTGTACAGTATATGGTTGAATTAGTAAAAATTAACTGCAATTTGCCCATATAATTGTTTCTTTCCTATTGTATCCCCAGTGGGTGAACCAGAAAAGGTTTCACAGTGGGATGGCTTTGAAGACGGGGTGAGGTCTATCAGGTGGAAAGGAAGGGGAGGAGCAGAGGCATATGCCAGCAGGAAGGTGTGAAACGGCCCTAGACTGAGGGGCAATCTAAAGTTCAGTATGGTTAGAGTGTCAGGGTAGGCTGCTGGGGACCTTACACGCCACATGACTAAATCCATTGGAGGTGCAGTTCATCTGTTAGAATGGGAACAGTACCCGCCATTGAGGGCTGTTCTGAGAACTAGGTGGGCACTTAGTTCAGACTTGACACACAGATGCCTTTTCTACTTTCCTTTTATTTTTTATTTTCTTTATTAAATTATTTTCTGTGTACATATCTTACCATTCCCCCGCGCCCCCCCCCTCATATATACCCTCCCTCCCCAGAGTTTTGTGTCTATTGGTTGTACTTATATGCATGTTTAAGAGGAAGGTAAATATCACCTCAGCTTACAGATTTTACCCTATAAGCAGGGGTTATATTTAAAATATTTAACCACCAGTACAACCCAGGTACCACTCAGGCAAAACAGATGTGGCTCATGACCAACCAGCTGCAGAAGTTCTTTTGAGGAGATTAAGTGCCCTTAGCTAGAATGAAGGAAAAACAGAAACAGGATAACCCAGCTATCCTGGGAAATGGTTCCTGACTTCGTCTAGGACTTTATCTAGTCCATAATAACCCATCTTAGGTCCAAACAAGCTAATTTAACTTGTATTTGTGGACACTTTATGTGGCTGGCCTCAATGCCATCTAAGAGAAAGCTCATCTGGAAAGGAAGGGGACTAACAGGCTAAGTGTTTGATGTGTCCTCTCGTTTGGACTTCACCCAATCTTGGGAAGTGAGGCATCATTAAATGCATTTTATATGGTGGAAACTGACGCTTTGGTTGGTGGCTGATTCCTCAACAGGTGTAAGAGGCTGCTAGCCCAGGGCGTGTTGCTTCAGAGAATGCTCTTTTCTCTGAAGGATCCAGAACGCTTCTTTTCTGCAGTTTAAGATACAAGGACATTCACCATTTCCCACTTGCCCATCATGCCATCCAGCCCACGCTCAAGAAAAACAAATTGAAAGGTATGTTTTTATTTCACACAAAAATGTGACATGCAATATCCATCCCCTAATAAACTACAAACTCTTGGAATACAGAATAAAAAAGGAAATTCATCCAGTCTTGATGAGACAAAAAGATTTGGTTTCACAAAGTTGAAAAAATTCATTACAAAGTCTCTGTTATATAAATATAGTCAGTCATATATTTAATGTAGAGTCAGACAAAAAATAAATTAAAAAAAGCTTTTGTTGGCATAAGAAATCCCCTGGTCCTTGACTATGCCACTATAGCCTTAGCTTAAAGGCATAAGGCTTTTCCCATATACCATCTAACATGTGTCTATTCTAAAGTTGATTGTGGTGATACACGCACAATTCTGAGCATTTTAATTGAGAGAATTGCGTGGTATTTGAATTACAGCTCCAAAGAGCTATTAAAAAGTATCTAACATGTGTCTAAGTTGCCAGGGGGGCTACAGGTAGACCTGATAGTATAACTCAGGCATTCCTGACAGGACACAGGGAAGATCCACAGTAGTCAGTACACTGAGGGATGGTGTAAAGGAGATCCTTAAAGTACTATGACTACCTTAGTGGGGTTTGAGGTTGCTCTGGGGACATTCAGTTTCAGGATGTCAGAATACAGAAGTCACTGGGGTCTGTACTTGGTCCTACAGCTCCTAGAATAGTCTAAGCATATCCTGTGGCCCCTGTCCCAAAAGCAAGTGATTCAATGGGCAAGCAGATGTCCAGGGTGTTGCTGAGGCTGCAGAAAACCTTGGGCTGGAAGCTCAGGAGCTGGCTGTCTGCATCCTTTTGGAGAAATTCCAATCAGGCCACAGTGTCTGTGAGCCTGACTCCCACAAGAGGGGGAGAATTTGGATACCCAAAGAAAAGCTTCTAGTGTATTGAGTCAAAGGGCCGTTGTTTGCCAGAGTCATGCAGGGCTCCAGTTCTTGCGGACCCTTTTAGAAGACAGCAATGCCTAATGAAGACCAGCAAACCATTTTGTGGCAGAAGAACCACTTAGAAATTGCCACCTGCATTCTGTTCCTACTATCTGGTCACCAATGACCACTTAAGAAGGGAAATGGGCACAGACCATGGGCATCTGGGTCCTTGACCAAGGGATGGTCATTCTAGTCTGATAATGATGGAGGGAGAATGGTCGGTGGTAGAAAAAAGGAAATTTAAGCCCTTGCTCTGGTTCTGCCATTCTAAAGTTCATCCTTTATAGGTGGTGTAAGAGTGGAGAAAAGGGCCACAGAGGACACTCACTTTACTCACCTTTCAAAAGGGATGCTGCCAGAAATCGGAGCCAGAAGTCTTTTTAGTGGGCTGGCACACAAAGAAGATGAGAACAGGAAAAAGGGAGAACAGGGGCTTGAAAGTGTGAAGTGTCCCAGTTGGGTGAACTCCTTGCTCAACTTCCTTTGTTTTTCCTTCTTAAACACTGATCTGGTTCTGCTGCTGAGTTTGGGGCCTGGGAGTCGATTGCTTTTCTGGTCAGCCTAGAAGTTAAATATTCTGTGGCTGAGTAGAATTATGCTTATAAGCCGTCATCACCACCTCAGGTCCCTCCCACTGTGGGCTGGATCCCCTAGTATGGCCCTGTTAAAACCATGGGCCCCTTATGTCCTTTCAAAATAAGATACCCCTGTAGCATGATACGGCCCAAACCTCTAGGAATGGGGCATTCAAGGATGGGGAATTGTCCTCACTGACAGGATTTGTTATCTCTCCGGGTAAAAAGAAGTAGGACATCAGGTCTTGGGGCTTACCTAGTTTTCTTCAGTGTCAGGGAGATTAAAAAAAAAACCAAAAAAAAAACCCGTGGGTCAAGTAGATCCACTAGGGCCTTGGACAATTTCTCAGTGAACTTTTTTCTTTGGCTCTAGTGAGAATATTTCTCTCTTTCTTAAGAAAAGCAAGGAAGTACCTAGTTTAAAGGATAAAACCAAACCTTCCTTATTGCCTCTCTTTGTGCTTATAAGCCTTCTTACCCAGGCCTTACTCACCCAGCCCTCAGCTTATCCGTTACACTTAGAGTGAGCTATTTACCCAGGAGAGATGAAGCCAGGCCACCATGAAGATGGCACACCAGGGACACCAAAACCCTCCTCACCCAGCCTCTCTCCTAAAGAGATCAAGAGCGAGGGTACATGATCAGGGAAACTCCCAGCTGCTTTCACCCTTTAATAAGAGGACAGAAAAGAGAATGCTTTTCATTCTAGGGCTGTAAGAGTTATGAGCAGGTGAAGCTATGGCTCTGATAGCTGGCCCATTTTGGGAAACAAGATGCAAGCAAGGGAGTAATATACAAAGTTGGGTATATTTAGCAGGTTTGAGGCAAGCATAAAGGAGAGTTTGGATACTCTATAAAAAACACACAGAGGATCTAAAGTTCAAATTTCTGATAAGGCCACAATAAAGATATTTCCAGCAGTGGGTGTTGCAGGAAGCTGGCACCAAATCGCCACAGGCTTGCAAGGTGGTGTGCCAAGGTGAGGAGGCAGGAGAGGCAGGGCAGGGCCTCTCACAGGTCCATGTCTGGGCCTCCTGAGGAAGTCTTCAGTGGCACCGAGTCAAATCCATCAGGAGTCCTCTGAAAGAGAGATGGTGACAGGAGCTGGCTGCTGCACAGGGGCAAGTTTGGGGAACAAAGGAGAGAAATGGAAAAGAGGTGACAGAAGGAACCCTTATGGAATTCCTGCTTTCAGTGGCTCCGTGGAAACATAGACATAAGGTTCCCTCTATTCTTGCTCCCTTCAGTTAGCCAGAGGATAAGAGAAATGTTTAAAACCCTCTGCTTTACATCTTTATGGGAGTTCCAGAAAGACTCTAGCGTCCCAGGATAAATTGTTCTCCCACCAATAAAAAATAAATTTAAAAAATCAAGGCTTAAGGAGGCCAAGGAGCCACCCTGGTAGGTCAGCACAAAGGATATGAGATTTGGCTGTCTGAGCCCCCCTCCCCCCTTCTTTGCTCCCGATCCTTCCTGGCCTTTCCTACTGTCTTACTCACTACCCTACCCACACCTGTTGGGGTGAGTGGGTTCTGAGCACCAGTGACGTGTGGGTACTGGCTGAGTGGGGCTGCTGTGGCCCTGGAGGAGTTGTTTGGATGCTCACTGCTGGCCTCACGCCCAGTGACAGTGCTGTCTGACTTGTATTAATGAGCTTCCAACTCACTCACCCACCCACGGAAACCAGCACTCCCAGGTCAGAAATGCTCAGTGCTGAGCAGATTAGACTTAGCTATGACTCAGCCCCCAGGGGGCGAAGGCCAAACATTTGGGGAACAGCACCCGCCACTGGCCAGCAGAGATCACCTCTTCCCCTCCTGCCAAAAGAAAAGAAAGGGGGGAAATGATTCTTACAACATGGATGGTTCACTACTCCTCCTGGAAGTTGAAAGGCCCAAACAGTTCATCAACTGGAGTTGGGAGAGAAGGAGCCTGGTCAAGAGCAGCCTTGGGCCCCAGGGAAAAGAGTATTGGTGTGAAAATACAGAAGGCAGAAGCCAGGATTTTCAGGGTGGGGGGAACAGAGAGTGTGGCGGGGGAGGAACAAAGCCGTGCTCCCGGAACAACGTGGGGCCATTCAGCGCCCATGGACTGGTGTCTTCTCCAGCCCTCCAGGCGGACCTCGATGCGCTGGCCAGGCTCCCTACCTTGGAGGTAAATGATTTGATCTTTCCAAAGAGGGTCTTCTTGCTGGTATAGAGGAGATCATCCTCCACGTCTTCGCCTTCCATGATGGCGCAGCTGTCGGCTGCTGGCAGGTCATAGTCTTTGAGGGAAGCGTTCATCACCAGCCTGGAGTACTTGTACTCTAGTCTGTGAGACGGGAAAGGGAAAGACAAGACACCAAAATGTGGAATAAGCAGAAAGAGGGAGAGAAGATGGGCTATGAGCAGATCTTCCCATTCCATGGGTAAGGAACCTCAAGCATAGAAAGTGGTGTTAGGCTGGGCATATAGCGAAGCAAACTTGGCTCCCGGGTCAGCGACCTTTTTTCCTTAAGGCTGGCTGTTTCTTTGATCTAAAAGCTTAATAGAAATATTGGAATTACAAGGTCACTTTTATTATTAACAACAAATTAAGGATGCTCCTTGCTTTGCTTTGGAAACTCTTAACAGCTATTTATAGACTGCCAAGTGGTACCATCCCTCTTCAGGAGTCAGGTCAACCAAGGCGTACCCGGAATAAGTGGCTCAGCAAGCCTCTGGCCAGGGTCACGGAGTCTGTGGGCTGACTCCAGAAAAAAGCTCCATGAATTTACGCTTAGATGATCTCCCAGCCCTGTCCATCCCCAAACTCCAATACCCATCATCATGTACTTTTGATTCTTTTTCCAAAAGTAGCAGGTCAAGACGGTGAGCAGGATCGCAGTACAGGTGCCCGCAGAGATGCCCACTTTCAGCCAGAAATCTATAGTTTTGCAGATGGTGATTCTCTGCTCAGGCAGAGAGTTGCCGCCCACGCAGAGCTTTGGTTCTCTCCACACATAGGTAGTCTTCTGTTGGGTAGAAAAACAAGCAACTCAGATATCACATTCCCTTCTCTCCAGGGAAGTCTCCAAGCAGAGAAACCTACCTGGACCCCAGCCACGCAGCTGCTGGTGATAGCGTGGTAGTCATTGGCTGAGCAGAGCGGACAAGCGGCTGCGCTCTCCCACAGGAAGTGGAAGGTACAGCCGTCACAGGTCCCATCAGGGCACGTGCTAGAAAGCAAAGAGGAGACTTGCGCTCACTCGCCGGATCGGTGGAGAAAATCTGCTTGGAGTCTATCATCGCAGAGCTTGCCTGCTCCATCTTCTTGCCAAACTGTTAGCCTCATCAGGATCCTTCCAACTAGGCCTTCACTCAGGTTTTGCTCTCTAATTTCCCTGATGACAAGATGCCTCCCCGATCTCCACCGGGCTCCCCACCCTGTGCGTTTCTGCTGACATCACATGAGAGCCAATGGAAGGTGTCTGGGTTCTCGCATGCTGCCCAGCCAAAGCCTCAGAGGCTCCTGTTCTCCCCGTGGACGTGTGACATTTTGCAAAAGCCACTTGGATGCAGCTTCCGGGCGATGGGAGTCAAGAATGGACTTTAGGTCATGGATATTTAGTTCTTCCTGTGATGCTGACAACAAGAACAGGGATCTGACATTGTTGAGCCAAATGTTGAGCCATTGTTGCTCCCCATCTCCCTGCTCAGTTGTTTAGGAACAGAGTTTCCTAAACTGTCTCCCCCAAGACACTAGTGCCCCTTGATGTTATGTGAAAAAGAAGAAGGGAGGCAGAAACGAGGGGTGCTGTAATTAAATTAGTTTGCGAATTGTCCATTTATTGCACTCAGCTCTTGAACTCAGAATTGGATCTTTTAGTCATGGAGGGATTTCTATGATTCCCTAAACCCTTATTAATCCTAATTCTAGATAGTACACACCAGGCACCCTGAGAAGTCCTCAAGTCTCAGTGTCTTATTTCATTCTCACAAGAACCCCCCGAGGGAATTTCTTATCCCCGAGTTATAAATAGGGAGAAGAAGCCTATGGAAGAGGGGAAATGTAGCCACGACAACAGGGCTTGTGAGCTGGGGAGATGAATGACACCTGGCTCTCAGCCCCTGCAATTTGCCACTTTGCTCTGCAGCTGCCCCCATTAACGGTCTGGAAATGTGAGGGCAGCTTTGCCTCTTCCCTCTGCTCCATTCTAGACATCTGAAGATGGAGGGTTTGGAGCACAACCGTGTTCCCAAGAGCCCAGTAATGGGTCTCAGACTGTTTTCTTGTTTGCTCTTTTTTGGTGATCTTTGCCTCTTGGATGGAACAAGTCCAAGGAGGGGCGACCTTGTTACCCCTTTACCTGGGCAGGGACAGACTTCCCGGGGCAGGCTTCAGCGGACTGCATCTGACTCGGATGGTAGTGGCCCTCCCAGAATTGCAGGACTGAGTCACCTCATTGGACCTGCAGTGAAAGCCAGCCCCCATGGGGGAAACGAGTCACTCACCTGTGCCATTGGAGAGCCACTAAGGGAAGTCAACCTGGGGAAGTCAGGACTTGGGCTGTAGCCTGACACTCAAGGAGTGTACAGGATGTGTTTACTTGGAGCAAGTAGGGATCTGGAAGATGTGGTCAAGGGGAAATGCGCTGGTCTGGGAAAGGTCAGCGTGTGCAGAGCACTGAGTGTCCTTAGATGAGAAGTCTACAGACCATCCAATGCTACTCCCTGTCTCCAAGGCAGATCTGCCCAGGAATACCAAGAAGCTGGGATCAGGGGACTCCCAGCCATCAACTATCATTGCCAGGCAGACCCGTTAGACCTTGGGCATGGTCTGGCTTGATAAGTATTAAGTGGCTAGAAGGGGGTGGGCATGCAACAGAAATTGTGGAGGAGCCCTAAGTTTCACTTGCATTAGTCCGGCCTCCCATCATCACCTATAAAAGAAGATCACGTCCGGTATTCCCAAGGATTCTGGGTGGAACAGATCAGCTGGAGAAGTGATTCCATCCACAGTCATGTATGTTGCCACCCCTGCCAAATCAGAGCTCCTGATTAGTTCTCACCGGCAGCCACTTCAGTTCTTTCACTCCTGTCAATGTCCAGCCTTCCTTCATCTCATCACATCCCCAAATGGCTCATGAAAGGGTGAACCGCCGGCTTGTCAGAAGCCCCGGGGGCAGTAAGCACCCCGGGATGAATAGGAAACAGGTCAGAGGTTGAGCCCTTTACCTGGGAGCCTGGGAGCCTCACTCTCTCTTTCAGGCCTCCCAGGCGTACACACACAAACAGGCTGGAGCAGCCGGGCTACTCACCCACAAGCCGGTCAGCGAGGCTGACAGGCTGCGAGGACACGCCTGCCTTGTAGCCTGTCACCTCTGGAGGAATGATGAGCGCCTGGCAGACGTAGGCCGTGATGGATTTGGAGAAACCAGCCTCCCCCTCAGGAATCCGGAGGTCAGTGACATTCTCGGTGCACACAGCCCTTTTCTTACCCTGGGAAGGGGGGTGTGGGGAGGAAGAAATAGGAAGGAGAGAATGGTCACAGAGCTTTCAGAGGGAATGGGAACATTTTTTTTTTTTTTTTTGGTCTAAAATATTTAGCCTTCTAATGGCATGTTGCAGTGGAATGATTCATCCCAGATCTAATTATAAGGAGCTTAAAAAAAAAAAAAAAAAAGCTAAAAATAAGGTCTAGGTGTCCTAGTTTCTGGAACTCTGGCCCAGGGGATCCCAGTCTTTTTGTTTCGTTGGAGTCATGTGGGGACCCTTTAGGAGCACAGTTGTAATGGTGGAAACTGATTGGGAGATCTCATCTATCCATTAAGGGCCTTCCTTGCCCTTAATGTCAGTTTTCTAGGCAGATACTGAAATATGTAACTGATCCCAAGGAAGGTTTCTGAACATCTGGCCTGGGTCCCATTCCTTCTCTGTGTCTCCCTTGGTGCAGTGATACCGCCATGCTGGTCTCTGAAGCATTTCCCAGATAGCAGTTCCCAGACCCCATCACTAGCCCTTTCCCTGCCTTGAGATAGGCCATCTTAGGACCAAGTGGAACCTATTCCATTTTTTAAAAAATCATTAGGAGAGCCCTAGCCAGTTTGGCTCAGAGGATAGAGCATTGGCCTGCAGACTGAAGGTTTCTGGGTTTGATCCCAGTCAAGGGCGTATGCCCAGGTTGTGGGCTCGATCCCCACTGTAGGGCATGCAAGAGGCATCATCATTGATGTTTCTATCTCTTTCCCTCCTTCATAGTTTTTATATACTCATGAGGGAATGGAGGTCAGGGAGGAGTAAATGGACAACTTACTTAAAACACTTTTATTTTCCTAAATTTTTATAATCCAAATGACTTAATTTTAAAGGAGGGAGTTCTCAAAGAGAGTAGTAATCATTTGCCAGCCTTTAATCTCCTCAATCTCCTGCCTGAAGGTTTGCTAGCTTTCCTTCTGTGTCCATCTCTTGGCTCCGGTCCACTGGTAACCCCTTTCTGTTCTCACACCATCGGCTCTCACACAACTTACCTCGTTTCCACAGAGACTGAAGGTGAAGTAATGGAAGTATTTCAGCCCTTTGGAAGTGAAGCTTGGCCCTCCAGCCAGAGAGACAGGGTCTGCCAGAGCCGAGAAGTTGTAGTCTAACAACCGACTCCCAGAGCTGACTGAGAAGGTGCAGTCGTTGTAGCACAGAGAGTGGATCTGAGGGGAAAGGGGCGGTCAGGCCGGCTGCGGCCGGGCCTCTGAGGGGACTGCAGCAGAGACCCAGCCCGGGGCAGCCCACATGGGTAGAAGAAGCAGCGAGGAGCGCGGGAAGGCACAAAAGAAGTGAAGCAGCAGCTGGTGGGGTTATGTACATCTTGCCATTCAATCATTAGCACATGTATGATGCACGAACCCAAACCTGTTGTTTTCTAGTAAGTAGTTGGATCAGATTCCATAGCTTTGTCCCTATGCTTAGATTATAGAACTCTCAAGGCACAAGATAGCTGTTCTTACTTTCAGGCAGAAGACAACAAACGAGATGCTAACTCGAAGAAGGGAGTCCAGATGGCAGGAGAGAAACTACAAGCCTTGACTCTCCCTCCCTCCATTTAAAACCAATTGAACCCTAATTCCTCTTTCCCAGCGTCTCTGTAGGAAACTGAACTTCAAAGGGAGCTTTATTCCCCATAAACCCCTTCCTTCGCTTTAGGGTCCTCATTCAGCCCTGCCTTACACAGCTGTCATTCCCTCCTTTGGCAGCAGAGGGAGCCTGAGGAGTGTGTGGCTGAAGTCCAGGAAGCCCCAAAGAGGTAGCCAGGATCTGCAGAAGGTTGCACTTACTGCACAGCTAAACTGAGGAACGTTTGCAGACTGTACATAATGCCTTACAGATGTATGCCCATGTGGTTGTGGTCAGTAAAATACAAATTCACTTAAAAGCATTAATGAACACTTAAGAGCTTTTAGCCGTAGTGCTTTTCTAGATTCAGACAGTACGTGGCCAACTGCACTGCTTTATAAGAAACCACTTGGATAGAGGACAGCAATGCCAGTTAACCCTATGTCCCAGCAAAGGTGGGTTACCTTCTCAAAGGAGAGGGGGTAGATTCCCATGATAATAGGCTGGAGTGACGTAGGTCTGAATTGGAGCCACAGGTTCCACTATTTCTTCCCTTCAGGCCTCTGCTCAGATGCCAAATAACCCTCTGGACCAGACGGTCACAGATCTCCCTTACCCATCTCTTGAAGATGAGACTTGTCCACGACTGAGGCCTAGCTCCTGACTGCCAACTTCTACAGGTAAGTTGGTCACAGCCTGGATGGGTGTTCTCTAGGACTCCACCCTGGGAGTAGGCCATGGGGAACGCTTGGGGGTCAGCCCCTCCAGAACCCCATTTGGACCTGGCACACTCTGAGACTGGGGTGAGGATGCATGACACACTGCTGGCACCTTGTTGCTCTGGGTCCCCGAGCCACAGGGCTTGCAGGCCTGGACTCCATAGGGCTGGTGGGCTTTCAGGATGGTGTTAGGGGGGCAGGAGTGGCAGGTTCCTGAATCCCGGTTGATGTAGTGGCCAGCAGGACAAGAGGTACAGGAGGAGCCCATGTCAGAGGCTTCCAGGGCGCAGGGCCGACAGTAGGAGGCCACCCCATTCATGACATTGGTGACGTTGATGGAATAGATCTTGGCGATATCGCTGGTGTACTTTCTGCCCTGGAAACAAGGAAACAAGAGGAGAGCGGGCAGAGGCGTGGGACACCAGCAGCAATTGAGTTCTCTGGAAATAGTAAATTACTGCTTGATCTTTTTTATCCTGTAAACTTGAGAAAAATCTGATAAGCACCTTATTCTTCTTGTTCACTTAACAGTAGCCCTTTATATACATTTAGTGTCATTTTTAAAGCAAATCTGAACCATTTAAAAATGACGTCTAAAAATATTAAGTGCCATGGGGGACTATGCAGTAGATACTGTTATATGAAAAAAGCAGGTCTTGCCCATGGCCAGTGTGGCTCAGCTCCAATAGCAGGTCTTGCCCTTGGTCTGCGTGGTCCAGTTCATTGGAATTGCATTCCGCGCACAAAGGGTCACGGGTTTGATTCCCAGTTAGGGCATATACCCAGGTTTAGTCCCCGCTTGGGGCGTGTGTGGGAAACGACTGATTAATGTTCTCTCTCACATGGATGTTTCTCTCTCACCCTCTCCCTTCCTCTCTCTCTAAAATAAATTTTTTAAAAAGAAAGAAAGAAAAGAAAAAGGCAGGTCTTTAATTTGCATTACGTTGAGTGAAAAAAATAAAACCAGAGTTGTTATTATTAAAAACAACAACAGGGATGAATAGGTGTACCAGGTGAGACATACACTTGTCCGCAGGGCAGGGCTGCTGTAGGGACAAAGTAAGGCATTAGGACAAGGCTAGATACTTTTCAGGGGCCTGGAATAGGCAGTTCTCTTGCTTGACCCCTTAAGATCCTTCTAATCCTTGGGGTCAGACCCTCCCACTCTCACTCAAACTAATGCTAAGGTTCCTCCTGGGTTCAGAGGTCTCTGTGGGAGCCCGGGATCTGAAGAAGGGGAGGTGCTTACGATCTCGTGGAAAGTGGTGCGCTGGAAGGCCCAGGTGAAGCTCACGGAAGCGTTCTTCTCAACGATGTAGGTGAAGGACTGCTTGCCTTTAGAGCCTTTCCACGTCTCCACGGGAGCGTTGGCCCTAGAATTCACTCCCTGAACCCAAGACAGACAAGTGAAGAAGGCACAATGGCCGGGTGGCTGCTGGGGAAGAGGCCACTCATGCCGTTGCCATCCCGGGGGCCATCACAGTTGGCCAGACCCATGTTAAATGGGGAAGCCCCTGACGGACAGTCTGGGCCCCTCCCCTGTGAAATCACTACGAGCAGACTGATGCCAGCCCTCCCAATAGCCTTCCTGGGGACCCCATCGCAAGCAAAGAAAGGAAAACATACCACCATGAAGTAGAGCTCACAGTTCACAGAACAGATGGTCTCGAAGACAAATGTGATCCTGGCCACCTCTTTGTTCTCTGTGTCCGCCATCACCGACTGTGGAGGTCTGCGGGCCAGAAGTTAAAAGTCAGTTCAGAGGCCAGGCGGTGCTTATTGCAGAGCCCAGAGAGCAGCAAAGGTCTGCTGGGGGGCATGAGGGGGGGGGCGGTGGGATTAAGCTCTTGGTATGTTGGAAAGAGCATGTACAAAGTCCAATCCTGCCCCTTAGCTATGTGCCCTTGACGTAGCCAAACTATAGTTTTCTCATCTGTAAAACGGAGGTCATAATATCTTTCTTATTTACCTCCCATCACTGAGGTGAGATCCACGGTCATACCAGATGTGGAGGTGCCATGTAAAATGCCATGTAGCCTCACAAGTAGAGTGCGGTCCCCAGACCAGCAGCATCGCGTCACTTAGAGCTCATTAGAGATGCAGAACTTGGGTCCCTCCTAGACCCCCCGAGTCATAATCTCACATTGATGTGACCCCCAGGTGATGAACATGGCATTAACGCTGTAGAAGCACCGCGATCATGAGACGCACACTGTCTATATATGCACTTAGCAGCTCTCTCTCGGGGATGGCAAGAGCTTTGCCTAGGTTGAATGAGCAGAGAGTTCCACTTGTAATCTCTCCAGCCAAGTTCTCAGGCTGCTCCTTCCTTTGGGGAAGAGAGAGCCATCTACAAAGCCAGAGCGGGGAGGGAGTGGGTGAGGTGCAGAAGCCTTTACTATGGTGATCAGATTTACAGATCGAAACATGCCCCCATAAAAGCCTAAAGAGTTTTCTTATCTCTCAAACATGAACTATATCTGCTCAGCCCTAAGTAACATAAGTTAAGGGAAACAAATAACTTCCGAGCCCCACCGTGGACCGAGCACCGTGGCAGGGATGGGAAGGAGGGAGCTTGGAGGAGGGAATGGAGAGGGCAGCCTGGCAATCAGGAAGCCCAGTCATTGGTTCCCCCTCATCTTCCAAGTGCACAAGAGTTCACTTGGGCTTTGAAAATCCACTCAGGTCTTTTCCCTGGCTTTGGCCATTTGCTTGAATTCTGAGGACCGGCAGGCCCAAGCTCACAGTTTTGCTAACAAGTGGACTGAAGAGTCATCTCAGCTTGAGTTAGTCCACATTCACACTGTCAATTCCTCTGGTTTACAGCAGGATGACTCCCAAGTGCGGGAAGCCAGTAGGAGTAAGTAGCAACATTCAAGTGCCCTGTCTTCCAGTCCGGTGCTCATTCCATGGTCCCACACTGCCTATAGTGTGTGTGTTTTTTTAATAGCAAACAAATGGCTTTTTGTCCTAAGTCTTCTTTGAGTAAGTGGATAAATATGATAAGAACAATCCCTTCCAATCTACTTGCTCCAAATAAAAATGAACTGTCTATGGGCACTTCTGGTCCTATTAAAAAATTTTTTTTAATTGTATCTGATGCTGTGAGGAGGAAGACTTTAAGTAGCATGTGGCCAGTGAATGGAAGGAGCTAGATGGGATTGGAGAGTGGTAGGTAGGTTAGACTGTAGGTCAGGTTCAGGTTCACTCTGTCAGACCATTGTCGTGCTCCCTCTGTCTGAACTGCTCCGACAGCAAACAGAGCCCTCTCTCTACCGCATTCCAAGATATGTGGGACATGCATGTGGCCAAGGTGGTGCTGGCTTCCCCTTAGTTTGGCATTCCTCACCTAAATCCTGGCACAACCAGAGTGAGGATCATGAAGTCATTGTCCGAGGCTCCAGCGGCCGTGTAAATGTAGTCCCCGGCCACCTCCCAGCCTGGAAAGGAGAGCAGAGAGTTAACGCCCCGGTGGTGTTGGGTGCAAGGCATGCGTGTGCCTAGATGACACTCTGGAACCACTGCCGGACACGACCATGTTACACCTGCCCCACTACTTCGGTCAGAGACTGGAGCTCTCAGAGCAAGACCTCTGGGGCATGTGCATGCTATTTCTAGTTCAGTTTTTGTCTCTGAAAGGGGATTTGGCAGAATATATGCCCATGAGGAGTGAAACTTTCCAGCGAATACATGGCCCGGTTAGCTCATTTCCTCCTAGATATCACGAGTGTGAAAACAAGTGACATAGGAAGAGCCCCCGGGGGTGGGGTGTGCAGGGAGTCGAGAGTGTGTGGCAGGGGGAGAGCCCTTACCTGTCATGCCTTTGTACTCAAAGTTGGTCCCACTGAGAACGGTCGTTTCCATGTTAGTGGGCAGTGTGTTCCACCATTTATATTCGAATCCCAAGACAGGCTCAGTCCCAGCTGGGCAGTGGCTACAATCTGGGGGGACCACAGATCCATGCGTTCAGCAAGAAGGCTGCAGCCACCCTGACCGGGGCTGCTGTCACACAGACAAGTGGCAATGTCGGGGGCAGCCAATCAAGGGAATGCTGAGTACTGCTGCACAGTGATATGAAGTTGACCCAAAACATTCAAGTAAAAAGCTGCACAGGCTGACCCTTCCTTCCCATGTCCCAGCTATCCTCCTCGCCCATCTAATTTTTCCTTTCCAAACGTAGACGTATCTTCTGGTCTGATCCAAATGCTTCATGTTATTTGTCATGTTATGAGCAGTGCATGCATTCACATGAATAGGGACACAAATTCCCCCAACTCCTCTCTGCAGCATGGCTCACAGGTCCACATGTGTCCATCTGGTCATCCCAGCTCCCAGGCCATCCGGTTAGCGCCCTGCCACCAGCCAGGAGCCTCTGGGGGGAGGATGGGGCCCCTGCAGGTCCAAGTCACAGTCGCAGTTGGAATGAGAAGAGCAGGCAGTTCATTCTCAAGTGTGACTGTGACCACAGACAGAGCCCACCCTGACTGCTCGTCTCCTGAACTTAGTCCTCCGGGCTGTGCTGACCACCTCGGAAGGACAGCTGACCACCCTGGGGGTGCTGTGCAAATGGGTGAGATGCAGGACGAGGCAGGAAAGGGGGTTACCGGAGCCGTTGGAGTACGAGCCATAAGGGCAGGGCTCGCAGGTGCTGTTGTCGGTTTTGAAGAAGCCTGGGTTGCATGGCGGGCAGCGGGTCTTCACGCCGGAGGCAGGCAGCTTCACCGCCCCCTCGAGATCCTCGTTACAGATTTTCGGCTGGGCCCATTTGTACATGAGCTGTGTCTGCAGAGATGGATCAAGGACGGCTCAGCCTGTACATAGCTTAGCACAGTTTTAGGAAAATTGACTTGGAGGACGGGGAGATTCTGGGCTGTAGTGCAAACTCCACCAGGGCGAGGATCTTTATTTTGGTCATTGATGTATCACAAGCACCTATCCCAGCTCAGTAAATGCATTTGAATGCATGTTGACTGGGTGAAGGGGAATATACCTAATGGCGACTTGTGTGACATGGGGTTAGGGGACCAGTTGTCTTCAGAGAAAGCTCGGGTTCCAATGTAGAATCTTATTACTACCAAGGTCACAGGACAAGCAGCTGGTAAATCCCAGAGCACAGAAAGGCATGGATGGGATTCCCAGTTTGTCCCCTGGGTGCTGTCTTTGCTTTTGCATTTATTTAGAAAGCTAATACATCTATATGTCAGACCTGAAGACTCAGAGATGGTGAGAGAGACAGAACAGCAGTCACATGATGGCCATTTTTACGCGATCAGACAGAACACCAGATGCTGCAGAACTGAGTCTGGGGTGCAGCTGATAAGATACACGGCCATTCCCATTCGCTGCTGGGGAAGGAGATGATGCTCCAAACACGAGAGCTGGGGCGGACGGGGGGGGGGGGGGAATGAGGGATGACTGTGATAAACAGTCGCTGCTAAGACCAGCCTTTATCCTGTGCTTAATAGGCAGAATTCAGCCAGCCAGCAAACATGTACATGCTAACAGCCAAGCACATGCTCAGTGAATGCAGCTTTCCTGACTCCTGATTCTGTCTCCTCAGGAGGCTCTGCTTTAGAGAGGCAGACAGTACATCCAGAGCGTCTGATCTAAGACAGACCCTCCACTCAGGCCCTGGAGCCACCCTGGAGCTGGCTGCTGTTGCTCGCACTCAGCAGGCTCACCACTCACAAGCCCGCCTCCTCTACAGCTGCTGCGCCCTGGGCCTGGACAGGACTATGGCTCCCTTCACCTCACTTAGGTCCCTGCCCTCTCTGCAACAGCTCTCCACTCTGTCACTCTCTATCTTCTAATTCCCTTCTAGCTTTTCTTCCTCCCACTTATTACCATCCGGTGTATTTGTCACATTACGACAGTAAATGTTCGCACCCTGCCACCTGCTGGGAGCCTCTGGGTGGAGGATGGGCCCCTGCAGGCCTGAGTCACAGTCGCAGTTGGAATGAGAAGAGCAGGCAGTTCTTAGGGGTGGCTGTGACCTGCAGACGCATTTGTTATTTATCTGTTGTCTCTCCACTTGCTCCCCAACAAGAATTAACTCTCTGAGAGTAGACGTTCCCATGGTTTTGTAGCTGCTGTATACCTGGTGCTAGCCCAGTGGCTGGCTGTTGGAATGAACAAATGACCTCCTCAGAGAGGCCTTCCCTGGGGAGTCAGTCCTGCCAGTCCGGGGTCCCCAGGACCCTGCACTTCTTGTTGCCTCGGTCAGGCCCATCTTCCTGCTGTCTCCACGCTCCCTGAGGGTCTTAGACTCTCTGATTCCCTCTGGAGCACGGGGCCTAGCACAGCAGACTGCAAAGGAAGGTTTCTGAAGCAGAGAGCTGGAGAGGGGGTGGGAGGGGGGTTGCGGGGGTCAGGGGAGTAAAGGTGCGAAGGAACCAGCAGGGCCAAGCCAGGCTGTTCTTCCGTGAGCTAAGAAGAGGGAACGAGTCTGACGAGTGTGTGAGGAAATAGTGTGCACAGGAGACAGGCAACTATTGTGCAGAGGGGCTAAGCGAAGGGAGAAACAGGAAGAAATTGAATGGCTCTCTGAAACAGAGCCTAGGAACCGACGGGGGACAGATGGCAAAACCAGTCTCTGGTCTGAGAGTGAGTGAGGCCATCTCCTTTGCGCCCTCTGGCCCCATGTCACTCTGCAGGTCTCTGGGGTTTTCTCTGGTGCAGTCTCAGTGGCCGCAGGAACTTCGAACGTGATGCAGCCCAGGGAGCGGGAAGAGGGGCCCCCAGACCGCGCTACCCACCTCTCCGTTGGCATCGCAGGCCGTGTGCGTGTAGAAGTAATCTTTGTCGGTGCAGGCTGGGCGCATTTTGCAGGAAGAGGATCCTTTTTCTAAATGGCAAAAGCGAGGACAAATACTTGGGTCACATAAGAAAGCAGAGCTCATGACCCTGTGGACCCCAAGATCAGATACTGCGGAAAGTAGAAAAGCCTGCACACCAACCCTTCCCACGCCACCTCAGTGGCAGAAGTCACAGTCCCCAGGCCATGCTCAGACGCCCCTGTGCACCGCCCCTGGTGCTGTGGGAAACCACAGCCGCGATGCGGGGCAAGGCGGGGAGAAGTGGACAGGCCGGAGGACCCGCAATGAGGGCAGGTAGCTAGAAAGAGCATCTCACAGGTTCACCACCACCACCCACGTTCCCTGAAACCCGCCATCTTCCAGGTCAGAATCCTGGCTGGGAGTAGTTTCTACTCCTAAGGGATTGACGTGAAACAGAAAAGCTTAGGACAGTGCCTTCATGCTCTTATTCTAATTCTTTCTCTGAATTTTCATATTATCTTCCCACACTCCCCACCCCAGCCTCCCAGCATTCTCTGCACCTAATGAAAAATGTCAGCTGTCGTTTCATTTATTCTGCTCTCTGCATGTTCTCATGTGCCTGAGTGCTCACATATGTAGAAGAGGAATAATAGTAGTATCTATTTGGCAGTGCCAGCACACCTGGTGCATTGTAAGGAGGGACTCACTAAATGCTGGTAACTCTTATGACCTGGGTTTGTAGGGGTTATTTTATTTGGTAACTGTCACGGGTTTTTAATAAGGATTAAAAGTCTCTTTCTCTCCCTTCCAGTGAAGGGCTTGTTTCTCAATTGAGCTCTTCTTCCCAAGGCACCAAATGAGTTCCTAGGTCAGGAAATTTCCCCATTGCTGCCTTGTTGGCCTGCACCGGGGAGTTCCCACAACAATGCGCCTCCGCGCCTCTTCTGTCCCCGTCTTGTTAGCTTGGGCAAGAGGGAACTACTGGCTGAGAAACAGCTGGGGCCTTCTTAGCTCATTTATTTGGTTAACAAGCAGAAGGCCTAATTCAGCACAGAGGGATCAGGGACTCCTGTTTTTGACCGACTTGGCCAGGAGAAATTGGGGGCAGATGCTGAAAACACACCAATTCCCAGGGCTCTTATGTGTTGGGTTTAGCAAATTGCAATCTGCTTGTTAGAGAGTGCATTCCAGCCCAGTGCATCAACCTATGAACTGGGAGATCACAGTTGGAATCTCGTCAGGGCACATGCCCAGGATGCAGGCTGAATCCCCAGTGGGGGGCGTGCAGCAGGCAACCCTCAATGAGTCTCTCTTGTCATTAATGTTTCTATCTCTCTCTCTCTCCATCCCTCTTTAAAATCAATAAAATATACATACTTACATATATATATTTTAAAAATGAAAAGATAAGAAAAAGAAAGTGCATTCCACACTGGGGCCTTTCTCTGCTTGTCAAATATTTGCTCAGCCTAACATGCTAGCTCCAGGTTTCAGCAAAAATAGGCCAGCTGTTTACACATGGACAACTGGGAAGGTGGTATTAATAAATGATTAACCCAAATGCTGCGACAGACCTCACTCTCCTGGCTCAGGTTTCATCGTGGTGTTTAAGTTGGGTTCTAGTCAAATTGGAAACATCAGCCTAGATGTTTGAGAAAATGAAAAGTGACTCCTGTAGGATTGGGCCTGGCCAAAACTATAAGGAAATAAAGTTTATCTTGGGGGCGCCAACTCCTCTTCCTCTCAGTGTCTTCCCCCTGCCTCGGGAGTATAGTGTTCTCACTCTGATACACTTTATCAAAAGAAAACAGGCCTGGTTCAGATACCACCTCAGACTCTGGCAAATCCATGAGCCTCTTTGAGCTGTTCTTGATTCGTTTGTAAATGGGGAAGTCACTCTAGCACAATGCTATGAGTGCTAAATCTAAATGAGGTAATATGGTATAATTTGTAAAGTACCATACAATGACATAATATTATTGCTATCTATGCCAATAGCATTTTTATATTAGCAGAGGACTGCTGGAACAGGCCTTAATGTGAATGAATTAATAAAGATAGTGCTCAGTACATACCAGGCACTATTCTAAATCTTCCACCTGTATTTACTTAATTAATCCATACAGTAACTCTATGAGGTATAATAGATATACTTACTGTCATTCCATTTTATAGATGATAAAGCTGAGGCACAAATAACTTGCCCAAGGTGGCGAAGCTAGTAAATGGTACATTAGAGATTTGAACCGTAGTAATTTAGTTCTGGGGTCCATGCTCTTAAATCCCAGGCTGTTCTCTTAGGAAATGAATCCCTGACTATTAAATGTAATACAAAGGAATTAATCCCAAAGATCATATTTTAGGTATCAGTGAGAAAAATACTTTCAGTCAGGCTTTTGTACTTAACATCTTCTCCTCCAGTGGCTCTGCCTTAGCCTAGGTTCTGGATACCTAGGCCTGTTGTAACATCTCCCAGCTGGGACCTTTGCCTCCAGCCAGCCATTCCTTTCCTCACCCATCTTCCAAATGGCAGCCAGAGTAGTCTTTCCAAAGCACAAGCCAGGCCATGTCCTCAGCTTAACATTCTTTAGTGGTCCCCACGGCTGAAAAGATCAAATATCTCAGTTTTTGAGCAGGGCCACAGAAGGACTGGTCCATAATCTGTTCCCTGCCCACCTCCCCAAATAAGCTCCAGCCATGCCAGTTACTCGAAGTTCCTAGCTTTCTGGCTTTGGCCCACACTTCTTCCAGAACCGCCTGCCCCCATCAAATCACCAGCTTGTCTTTCAAGACCCAGCTAATCACTTAAGACCACCGCTAATGAAGCCTTTCCTCTCTCCATGGAGAGGAATGACCGCTTACCTTCTTCGCCTTTACTACACCCTGCACTGCTCCTATCCCAGCCCCTCCTAATCCATGAAGCTACTACACTTAGATATTTCCATAACCACGTTTCCCCTTTTCAGCATAAGCTGGGAGGCAGGCACCAGCTCTAACCCTAGCACCAGCAGACACTCAAGACGTATTTGTAAATGGGTGACTAAAGGCTCTCTGGGTCTTTAGTCACTTCCTTCATGCGCACTCCATCATCGGCTCGTATCAGACTCTCTCTGCAGCTTCCCAGCTTCCCACTGACCCTGCATTCTGGATGAGTCAAGTCCCAAACAAATGTAACTGTCTTTGTACCCCTAGCTGGTAGGTGGTTGACAGGCTGACTTTATTCTTCATAGTAAAAACTCACTCCCCAGCCAAAGGGGTGGAGTGGGAAATCAATGGCAGAAGGAGAATAGACTCCAAGAATTCAGACTCCCAACCTAACACTTGATAACAGCTCTCTGGATAAAAATCGGTTTGCATAGACTTGGTCCAAATACTCATAAGTAGTTTTTTAGAACCAACTTGCCAATCAAACTGTTGTACAGCAGCTGGGCTGAAAAGGGCTGGAGAGTTAGACTAACAAAGGCTGCCATTGACTGAGCCGGGAAGAGGAATAAAAAAGTCAAGTGGAAGAACAGGAATTTAAATGTATAGACAAAAACTTCCCCCAAGATCTGAACATTCCTGTTCCTGCTGCAATCTATACTCTGGCAAGATCAGTGGAGAAAAACAGGATTTTTGTTTTAGGAATAGTGTAAAAATAAGCAGTTCACAAGGTCAGTGGCGGGTCTTGGCTGAGCCAACACATACTGTAACACCTATGTTAAGGTTGGGTGTGTCTGTGCAGGGATATGGGGTCTGCTTGAGAGCGCGCCTTGAGTTGGGTTTGTGTATGGTTCTGTGTGAGAAGGAACAAATGAAATAACTAGTTATGAGTGTTTGCAGGGGGAGAAAAGGGACTCTTTCTCTCTCACTACTAGTTTTTTCAGAATATGTCTTGCAGATTGGCCCCCTTGCCAACCAGTGGACTGCCTGAGCCAGGGCCCTCTGGTTCATAGGTTGATGTTCAACCACTGAGCCATACCAGCCATGCCATGCCATATTCTTCTTACTGTCTAACATACAATATAAACTTTTATATATTTGTTGTTTATTGTCTATCTTACCCCTCCAGCATGTAAATTCCACTTTGTCTATGTTGTTCACCACTATATTCCAAACACCTAGAATAGGCCCTGGCAGATAGTAGAAGCTCAGTGAGTGCCTGTCACATGATTTCATTTTTATTTTCAGAGCGATTGGTAGGATGTGGGTTGGTTCTTCCAGGGTCCAGAAAGCATAAACTCTTCCGGTCCGGAGCTTGACCAGAAGGATGGCTCCGCGGCCTGTTTCTCCCTGTGCTTGTTGGTATCGCCCTCCAAACCCTTCCTGCCCTCAGAAACATCACCTGAGTATTTGTCGGCGTCACACTGGTGGCACGAAGTTTCTTCCTTGTTCGAATAAGAATTTTCTGGACAAAGTTTGCAGAAAGAGGAGCCCTGCACGTCTGCATAGGTGCCAGGTTTGCAGGGGAAGCATTCCGAAGTGTAGGCCACCCCTGGGAAGGAAGAACATAGCAAAGCAAAACTTGAGCCTAGAGACTAGCCCCTGGGGACTGGCCCCCACTTTCCTCCTACAGAGTCACAGGGACAGAAGCCCAGGCCCCGCCCCCTCTCCATACCTGTGATGACGATGTTTCTCACGAGCACAGGCTTGGAGACTTTGGACCACACTGAGAAGGCTGTGGTTTTCCAAAAGAGGACGTTATTGCCTCGGTTTAGCTTTACCTACAACCACAGACAAGAGGCATTAGCGCAGTCTCTTCCCGGGGCCCCTCCTCTTACAGTCCAATGGCAGTGCCTGTTCTGATCCTCCCTGCTTCCTCAGCTTTGCACTTGCCCTTGTCTTGGCCTTCCTCCTCTGTCTTCTGAGCTTCCTCTACAACCATTTCCCACCCTCAGCCACATACATCGAGAGCAACTCTACAGCGAGACTGATGAAGGGGTCTGACGGTAGAGTGAATGGAATTCCTGCTTCTTCTCTGATTCCACTTATCCATCTCCTGTCCCTAGAAGACCTAACCTTTAAAAAGGCTGCTGATCCTGGGGTCAAGCCAGGGGTACAGCAAGACAACCCACACCCATATTTTGTCAACTCAAGAGAGAAACTGCAGCATCCTCATCATGTCAGCCCTTTGCCCTCTAGGGAAAGAGGGTTGGAGGCCTGGGTTGGGAGGAAGCACTCCTTGGAGGAAAGGCCCTTGGTCCCTTTTCTGGGATTTCTAGGCTGCAGGAAAGCTGGCTTGATGCTCACAGTGTGGAATTCCCATCCTTTCTCTGTGGTCCTCATCCACCGGGAATCGTCTGCATTGGGCTGGCACTGGTCATTCTGGACCTGAGGCAGCAGGAGTTTGGGATCAGAGTCTTCGAAGGAAATGGGTTCCTTCCCCCACACTGTGGCAGCCTTCCCCAGGCCCCTTCTTGTGGGAGAAGAGTTGCTCTGTTCCTAAAATTTTCTTTAGGAACAGAGCTCAGAACGTAGGAGTCTTGAAGTAGGGCAGGAGCTAGTCACACACACAAAACATCAGGCACTGACAGCAAACACATAACCAGTAACTCAGAGAAGCCATTACATGCTGTGTGCGTGTCTGAGCAAGGCGAAACCCCCAGGATTCCCAGACTCTCCTCCTCCCCTCAGATTCCCCCGCCTTTTGAAGCCTCAGCTCCTTTGCCCACAGTTCTCTCCAGAGGATAACCACTCTGGCGATTTCCCAAGCCGGACTGGGCTTGTGATTCCTGCAGGTGCTTCTGAGCCATGGAGAGCCTCTGCCGCCCACCCTCCCCCTGGGCCAATGGCTTACAAAAAACTCAAAGATGATGTTGGAGTCTGCGTAGTAGTATTCGAAGTTGACAGTGCCCGACTTCTTCAGGTTGACGGCATACATCAGTGTGGCCGTGCACTCATCCGTGTTGGAGGCGATGTAGTCGCCCAGGGGAACCCACTTGGACCTGTGGGTTGAAACAGGGGCCAAGTTCACTGTCAGGGGCACGGCCCACCAGCTTCATGTGACCTTCTAGGTGTCTGGGGTATTCTTGATTTGTGATTCACACGCGAAAGCTTAGACCTGAAAATGCTCAGTAAAGGATGACTTCTGGGCCTGGCCAGCATGGCTGAGTGGTTGAGCATTGACCTGTGAACCAGGAGATCACAGTTTGACTCCTGGTCAGAGCACATGCCTGCCTTATAGGCTCAATCCCTAGTGTGGAGCTGATGCAAGGCAGCTAATCAATGATTCTCATAGTTGATGTTTGTATCTCTCTCTCTCTTCCTATTTGAAAGCAATAATATATATATAAAAATTTTTTTTAAAGAACGACCTCTGGATCAAGGAACCAAGAGATGGCCCCACATTATGCCCTCACTATTTCACTATTTTGCTTGAAACCAGCTCAGGTCTCCAATGACTAATAATGTCCCATTAAGGGGACCTCAGTTTAGTCCCCTGGTTCCCTCCTGTGTTTGTCAGAGTAAGATGGTGATTCCAGCTCTTCAACAGTTACTGTTATTCTCGCATGGAAGCGAGAATAGAATCCAAAGGACCTATGCTGAGTTCATACAAGATTCCCGCACTAACCTAATGGTATTGATTTCTCCTGTGAAAGAGACAACACTGCATGCTGATGTGCTCCCCGGCATCAGCTATAAATAACTGCTCAAGTCGGATGAATAATTAAAAGGGTGCCATAATGGGTTACATTTGCAAAATGCATCACAATTCTGGTATTTGTCAGAGCTGTGTCTGGCGAAAATCACTTCACACTCAATCAGAACAGCATGTCTTCACTGATGTCTAATGCCAGGCATTGCTCCAAATTCTTACTCTTATCAGCTCATTTAATTCTTACCACTACCTATAAGAGGAATACTGTTTTTAGGATGAAGAAGCGGAGGCACCGGAATAAGGAGGAAATTTGCTCACGGTCATTTAGCTGTGATTTGCTTTGTTTCCCCGTGGCCCGGGGAAAGAGAAGCAAGTGCTCTAAGAAGAATTCTCACATGGTGGCCACCCAGGCACCGCCTGGCTCACGCTGTGTGGCATTATTTTATAAGTTTAAGTTAGAAAGAAGAAACTGCACAGGAAAATTAAGAGGCTGCCCATGTTTGAAACCCTTAGATCTTGCTCTCATTCTTGTTTCCCCTTCATACTGCTTGGCTTCTGTCCTTTCTTCTCCTCTAACATACAACATCCTTTCTATATTACTCCTCCTTCACTCCTGTTCCCTCTTGCTTATCCCAGTCTTGGAACTAAGGGTTGTTTCCAGCACCTCGGTCATGGGACATTTAGCAAGAAACCAAGGAGGAGCCCCTGAAGGATTGTCCTATTTTGTTCCCAATGATTTATTTCATGTTGACTTTGTGCCAGATGTTAGATGCTGGATATAAAAACAAACAAACAAAAAAACCACACACACACACACACACACACACACACACACACACAAATAAATAAATAAATAAATAAATAAATAAATAAATAAATAAATAAGACAGACCTGGTCCTCTCCCTCTTGAAGCTTGCATTCTACTTATATTATAGTTGCAGAGACAGAAGCTTAGCTAATCACAAAATTAATCCCATAGTAATAACTGTGATAAGTGCCATAGGAGAAGATGAAGCAGGAGTGTGTAACAGGAGCCTGTGGTGTCAGGAATGACTTCTTTGAGGAAGTCACACTTAAGGCCCCAAGGAGGGACGGAGCGTGGTGGCCAGTCTGCCTAGAGCATAGTAAGCAAGAGGGAAGGTGCTTGAGAGAGGCTGGAGAAAGGGGCAGAGAGCAGAGGACCGTTGGGACAGGTACTGGATTTTATTCTAAGAGCAATAGGAATCCATAGCATCCAGAATTTTCAGGAGGAAAGTTCTGTGGTTATATTTGCGTTTTAAGAGGATCAATCTGGCCACTGAGTGGACAGTGGCATGGAGAAGGCTGGGAGTGGAAGGAGGTACCAGCTGGGAGGTGTTAGAGGCAGAACCAGCAGGAGGTAGTGCTGGCTGTGGTTAGTTTGGAGGCGGTGGACATGGATTCAGGTAAACACCAGCTCAACTATTGCCTTTCTGTGGGGCGGTGAGGAAATCACAAAGCCTTTCTGGGTGGCCATCTGCTCTCCATTTCGAGAGAAGAAACCTCCTTCCCCTGCCCAGAGATGTCCTGGACGCTTTGAGAACCAGGCCCTTCAGGATCTGCGTCCTGGAAACACAGGCTGTTTTATTAGCCAGCCCACACCCTGCCCCGCTGAGAGATAATGATTTCTGGACTTCAGGGCAGTTCCCAGACAGAGAGAAACCCTTTCTCGCTCGAATAGGAGTTGATTGAGTGAGCCAGGCCTGCACCTGGGTCTGCTCAGTGGCATTCTCTGTTAAGACACAGATGGGGTCGGTTGTCTTAACCTACGTTCCCTCTCCTCCCAGCTTTAACCCTCTCCAGCTCTCTCGGAGGCAGTGTTGTCGTGCTGATGATTTTGGCACAAGTCTGAACTCTAAAAGTGGACTCTGAAATGCCTGCTGCCTGGCTCTGCCAAGGGTACTTCTAGGAGGTTAAGTATAAGAATGGGAGACATTGCTCCCGTTTTAGAAATCCACGTGTAATATAGTTCTTAACTCCTTTTTGTCCTTTTGATTGCTTGAGCATGAGAGACCCTTTCATGGATGTACTTTTCTCCCATGTTCTTTGCCAATACTTAACAAAGAGCAGTGGACGATTGTCTTTTACATCCGTGCATCCCCCCACTTTCTTCCCTAGGATCCAGCGTTGCCTCGCACACACTGAATCACTTGAAGGTGGCAGCTTGGGGCAGTAGAAAGCTTGGCACTGGGTGCAAGTTCCAGGCTCACCAGCTGTAAGCTAGGTAACAAAGGACAAGTCACTGAACCTCACTTGCTGAGTCTCCAGTTCCTCACCTGTGAATGGAACAGTCATACCTATTCCTCAGGGTTCTCATGAGGAATAAGGCATCTGGAATTGTGCTGAACAACAGAAGGCACATCACTCATTCCTACCCCCGAAGGAATTCAAAGATTCTGACAAGGAAAGCTCACCAGTTCTACAAGTAACTTGAATTGAGCTTTTCAATTACTAAAAATATCTCTGTTTGAGCTGGGGAATTTTCACTCACTGGAGTCTCAAAGTTTTTGAAAGCCACCACAGACCGAAGCTCTGGTCCTTCTCTGTGCCCCCCAAACCTCGGGTTGGCAGTCCGGTTTAGAAGTTAGCACCGAAGCTAGGAAGATGCCCAGTGCTTTACACATTGTGTTGCTATCAAGGTGAGGATGTGTATTGGCTGGCCCAGAATTCCATGGTGGAAATACAATTGGATTTTGTTTTAAATGGACTAGGCCATTGAACCTGTGGCCAACTTACCTACCTCTCTCTATTTCCCCATGTTTTTCTCCTGCCACAAATGCTTGTCCATCACTAGGAAGCTTATGTCAGTGAATGGGCTAAGGTGGACGATCGTCCCACCTAACAGTGCTGTGGGCACCTGCTTCAGGCCTCACCCTGGGCTCCCTCCTCTCCACCCTCCCTGCCCACCTGCAGAACAGAAGAGGAGTGCTCCCTGAACCCCTTCCCAGCACGGGGAGGAAGGAGCCAGGCATGGGAGGTGACTCACGAAGTGCAGTTCTCAGTGGACTCGTTGGTGCTGTCATTGATCTCCACGTTGGATGAGAGACTGGCAAAGCCATGAGGCAGCTCGTCCCACTCATCGAACCGGATGCCCGTGCCCAGGGAGTAGCGGCCCTCAGTGCAGGGCTTACAGGACTGGTCCTTCATGTCCAGAAACTCCCCAGCTTTGCAAGAAAAGGCTGGAACACAAAGCAAGAACAAAGGTGGGGTGGTGAGGCCGCTGCTGCCCCAGGAGAAGTGGTCAGGTTCTGGGCATCCTAATGGGAGGAGCAGAGGGTGGAGGTGTAGGCATTGGGCCCGCTAAGCATTAGAGCCATGCACGTCTTGTCCAAGTCCATTAACATGGAAGGTCCAGACAGGCAAATCCACAGAGACACGTGGTGAATTTGTGGGGCCAGGGACTTGGGGAGAGATTGCTGGTGGATTTGATGTCTCTTTTTGGGGTGATGATAGTGCTGAGATTAAATAGTGGTGATGATTATGCTACTCTAAAAACTAAGTGAACTTTACACTTAGAGGTGAATTTTATGACATACAAATTTATATCTTAATAAAGTTGTTATTTAAAAAAGAGAATTGTGGCCAGGACCGGTTTGGCTCAATGGATAGAGCGTTGGCTTGGGGACTGAAGGGTCCCAGGTTCGATTCCGGTCAAGGGCATGTACCTTGGTTGCGGGCACATCCCCAGTAGGGGGTGTGCAAGAGGCAGCTGATTGATGACTCTCTCATCGATGTTTCTAACTCTCTATCTCTCTCCCTTCCTCTCTGTACAAAATCAATAAAATATATTTAAAAAAATAAATAAATAAAAAATAAAAAAGAGAATTGTGGCTGTGGAAGCTCTGCCTTGCTGAGGGATTTGGGCTAATCCCAGTCAATCTTGTTTCCTAAGGGAGTAGTCATGATAGGGACACCATGATCTCTCACGCCAACCCCTCTGAAGGGCACCAGGCCTTCCAGCCTTGAATATCCCCTTGAGTCTCTGTCTCCTTTCTGGTTCCACTGACCATGCTGGTTGGGATCCTAGAACATGACCTGTCAGTTTACCCTCTGCAGTGTCCTCCTAACAAGTGCCCGCTTCTTGTTTCTGCTCATTCTGTGGTAACCAATGTTATTCTAAAACATTGAGCTAATTAAAAAGTAATCAGGTGCTCCTCTTTGGTTACAGGATTGAGCTCTCAGCCAACCTTTCCAGCTCATCTCCCACTGCAGACCTTTCTCCAGCCCAGCCCCATTCTCGCCTTGCCTGTGTTGTCTTCATCCCAGATCATGTGTTCTTCTGCCTCCAAATTTTTGCTCAAGTGGTTCCAGTCCCTAATAAGTATCCATATCTCCCATCCTTTTTTACCTCGTATTAACACATTATATGGATGGGAGCCTGCCACCAGCCCTAAGCTCCTCCAGGGCCCATGGCTCAGTAACTGACACAGGAGCTCTCCATAAAGGTTTTGCTGACAAATGAATGGATACATAGGAGGAGCTGATAATGTTGGTCCGGTTAACAGAAGATGGCTCGTTTGTTTCCGTTATTCACACTCCATTCTGATCGGGTCCTAGCAATATTCATTCACTAATTTAATAAGTATTTATTTGCCCACTTACTGAACCAGGCACTATATGCTAAGCTTATTTTAGAATTTAAATGCCCTCAATTTCCTTTCCAACTTTTCAAGTGTTCCTTGATTCTAGTCTCTGGTTTGAATTGTTACTCCCTTTGCATATCTCAGAAGAACAGTGGAGGGGAAGGAGCTGCCAACTGCAGCAAAGCTCTGACTAAGAGTCACAGAGGTGGGGGCGGGAGCTGCAGGCAAGCCATCGCCTGGCTGATTGCACAGTCAGCTCCCGTTGGGAAGGTTCTTGTTTCCTGAAGTGATGCCCAGTGTGTTTTAAATTCATTTTCCCTTGCTTCCTTTTCAAGGACGAAAGCAAATTGCAGTCTTTCTAATGACCGATTGTGGCTGGTGAGTGTAGATTGGAGGCGTGCACAGGCAAAGAGGGAAATGTATGCACACTGAGAAAAGTATCTGCATGGCACACAGCTGGAATTACTTACACTTTATACCCTAATGGGATTTAAATTTTTTTAAAAAAGTAAATTCGGATACCCAGTGTGCATCTGTGATATAATTTTAAAAGAGTTGGGGATGGGAACGAAGTGGGAAAAAGATCTGATTCCTTAAGGCAGCTGCACTGTCAGGGAGGGCCTAGCTTGCATGTTGAGTCTTAGGGCAGTGGTTAAAGCTGAGTGTCAGGAGGCCTGGAGCAGGATGGCTGCTTACAGCACTCGGTGCCCCTGACGGGGTCCGGGAGGCTGGTGCAGAGGCCCGGGGTGTGCGGCACAGCAACCCTCCACCTGGAACTCGTGCTGTCACATGCGGTGTACTCGTAGTGGTACTCAGACTGCAGGGGAGAGAACAGTGGGCAAAACGCGAGTTGGTATTGATCAAACCATCCCAGCTTCTCGCCCTCTTCTTCGCCAGTACCAGGGCTATTGACCCTCATTGACACAATAACACCCTGAAACCCTGGTGGGGAGCAAGGCATCACGGGAGCTATCATTCTTTAGACCACTCCTCTCCACCCAGTCCTGGTCTAGCCTTTAGAAATCCTTTCTTTTCTTTTGGGGGTGACTGTCTTTGCTGTTATGTATAAGTAATGTCCTGATAGTACTGAGCAGACTAGAAACAGGTGGAGTTTTTCTTATCCCAAACTGTAGAATTTATGAGCAAGGACTATCCATTAAAAATTTCCAAAGGATTGTCACAGACGCTGTATTTTTCTTACCCTGTATTCCTCAGGCTCCCTTCTGCTCAGAAAGATGGTGCATGCCCACCTCCCATTTTAAAAATGTCATATTTAGCCCATGCAAGTGGTGTGCTCTCATCCTGTGGGTCTGCTCCTGCCTGATTTCTCTGTGCAGTGGGAAATACACAGTTCAGTTGCTTTACTTGAACCAAGAATAAGCTAAATAACAGCAGCAAAACAGCCAAATCAACCACTGAGTAGAACAACAAAAACCATTTCTTGGGAGAGAGAAGACAGAATAAATGTTTATTCCTTTAAGTCTTGTCATAAATAATAGAGCGCAGAATTCATTTGACTTTGGCTCTGACAAATATTTTACAATCTGCACTAAAACTATATTAAAACACAGAACTACTTTGTATTATTGGGTCCATAAGAAAAATAGATAAAATGTCGCCTCTCAACCCTGATGAAAGCATGATTGCGTAACACGTGTGAATGCAAGGAGCTGAGCCTGCAAAGGAGACAGCTAATCTCAGCATGCGTCAGGACCCCAAGGGGCAAACTTTTCCTCTGGGAGAGGGGGCCATCCTGCATTTGCTCTATTCCAAGATGCCCTCTATTCCAAGATGTCGTGGCTTATAACTGACACGACAAGGAAGCATCATGCCATGCTTTAATTCTTTGTGGTGCATAATAAATGGTGTGTCTGAGAAGCAGCGGCACCCAGACTTGTGGAAATAAGCGAAACGTGTTTCTGTCATTTAAGACACTTAAGGTGATAAGAGATCAATTGTAGAGCTCCTCTCTTATTTTCCTCTATTGTAAATATTTACCAAATATGTATTGTACACTCACCAGTTGTAGGTACCAGATAGCATGCCCAGCACTTACATCCCAAGGGAACAGATGCAGAGGACCAGGGGACAGTGTGGGGACTGTGAGGCTAACTTTTGATGAGAATCTTCGACTTTGCATTTAGACGTCGCTGTCAGCTAGGGAAGGAAGGACACCAGGATGGCAATTCTCTGTGCCTTTGGCTAATATCTCTCGGGGTCTATTTTTTCCTCCTAATTCCAGCCTTTTCCTTATCTCAGAGGACTCTCAATAAATAGGGCAGGCAGTTCCACCTGTATCAGTTCCAGGTCTAAAAATGGTGCGTTCCAAAGGGTTTTGCTGCAAGAGTGAGGGGTAAAACCCACGGTATGTAAATGCAATGTGGAACTGAGCGGAGCAGGCAGAGAGGATTCAGCCCGTGAACATAATCATGCCGGTCATTAGCATAGCGCTTTCACAGTTCCCTCGAACCCCTGCTCCTTTGCTCTTCGGTCTGCCTTCAACCAGACAAGCAGAGCAGGGTTGTTCCCTTCCTTGTACAGATGAGGAAACACTCTCAACGGGGTGAGAGGCCTTGTCCAAGGTCACACAGCTGGAAGGTCACAGAGCCAGAACCCAGGCCTTCCCACCAGGAATCCTCCACCCGCAGACCTCGAACCAAACGCAGACTCACGCTGGGCCAAACTGAACAGCCAAATCTAAAAATTAAACAAGACAGTGTTGGCTGTGTGCCAGCAGCCAGGCTCTCCCTGCGGCCTGTGCATTGGTGCTGAAGTACAAATCTGTGCGAGCAGGTATCTCAGCCCACTCTGACTGCATTTGGTCTTTTGGAGACACACAAATTTTTGTTTATTATGGTAAATTTCAAATATATATTTATTTTCCTCTCAAATATATATATTTTAGTAAACAGAATATAATGCCCCCATGTACCTATCACCCAGCATCAGTGCTTACCAATTTCTGCCATTCTTGCTTATTCACCTCCACCTACTCCTCCCCAGTTGAAGTTATTTTTTATAGGTTGAAACCTACATATCTTAGCTGTACAAGGTGGATTAATGGGACACTTAAGTGAAGGTCTGACAGGACTGAGAATCACTGTCCCCTGTCACCTCCACTGCCAGCAGAGTAGACAGTCAAGCAGGTGTCTCACGTCCTGAGGCTTAGAACCTCAGAGCTACCGCCGTAGACAGTCACACACACCCCAGGAAGCAGGGGATTGGCACGACTTGCGTTTGTCTTGGCTGGGACAGGGCTGCTTCAAGAAACAGGTTCTTAAGTAAATCCGGATTCTGACTAGAGGCCTTGGGGTCTGGAGGAGGTTGTGTCCTGCTCCTCCTCCCTCTCCCCTCCCCCCTCCACCACCTGCTGGCTAGTTCCCATCTCCTCACTGTCCCTGAAAATCAGGTCCTTTGGGGAGAAGGTCAGGATGGGGCAGGGTAGGCAAGGCAAGTGCCCCAAGCTTGGAACAGGGGGGTCAGCAGGTGTTTGCTGACTCAGGTGTAAACGCTCTGCCTGGAAAGCACCTGACCCAGACAAGAGCAGGTCCCATTCAACAGGCCTGCCTGTCAAGGAGAGGCTGGCCCTTTGCTGGGAGGGAGGAATGAGCTAGGTGACTTAACACAGAACATGGGAAACCATGGACAAGTGTCAGAATTTGAACATTAGACTTTCTCTTAGGCCCAGCCCTAGCTGGATGATTTCCCGGACTTCTGTTCCTTGTTGTTGTTGTTGTTGTTGTCGTTTTGCTTCTGGTGTGCATGGTGGGTGTTTGTGTTGGTTGCGGCTCAGGGCATCGTGGCCTTGCTCTGTCCCCTGTGAAGAGTAGTGTGGAAGGCACAGGACCTTTTCTCTTGTTCTCCAGCAGGTCGGATGGGGGCGCACAGTAGGCCTTCTCCCTCTCTCCCACCCTCTTTAGGACTGCCTACTGAGCAGCAGGGTCTCTTGAGCCCTTCAGCCTAGCCATCGCAGCTCCAGAGCTCTGGTGCCTGAACCTGCATCTGTCGGATCATCACAACTGCCTGGAGAACAGGTGAAAAACACATTCCCGGGCTCTGCCCCCAAGATTCTGCTTTTCCTCTAGATCTTTTTCTGTTTCCTTCTCCTTCAAAACTCTCTCTTCTGCCAGGACCGGTTTGGCTCAGTGGATAGAGCGTTGGCCTGCAGACTGGGGGGTCCCGGGTTCGATTCCGGTCAAGGGCATGTGTCTTGGTTGTGGGCGCATCTCCGGTGGGGAGTGTGCAGGAGGTAGCTGATCGATGATTCTCTCTCATCAGTGTTTCTAGTTCTCTATCCCTCTCTCTTCCTCTCTGTGAAAAATCAATAAAATATATATTTTTTTAAAAACAAAAAAACTCTCTCTTCTAGTCCTCAGGACTTCAGTATTTATCTCATAAACCAGTCTCCCCAAATCAGGGTTCCTAATCTACAGGCCTTGGACCACTTCCTGCATACAACCCTGTGCAGAATTTATTAATAGGTACGTGGGGGGAAAGAATTTTAGGTATGTGCATTTTTCTGGGCAAAAGGTCTGCAGTTTTCATCAGTGTCTCAGGAGTCTGTTACCCACCTTCCGTCAGAAAAACATTAAACTCTGTCATAGAGTAATTTAAAAATAGCTTACTGTTTTACCAGCCAAAGGCTCTTCACTTTTAAATATATATATATATATATATATATATATATTATTGATTTTTTACAGAGAGAAAGGGAGAGGGATAGAGAGAGTTAGAAACATCGATGAGAGAGAAACATCCATCAGCTGTCTCCAGCACACCTCCCACTGGGGATATGCCCTCAACCAAGGTACATGCCCCTGACTGGAACCAAACCTGGGACTCTTCAGTCTGCAGGCCGACACTCTATCCACTGAGCCAAACTGGTTAGGATAAGGCTGTTCATTTTTTAACAGGGGCCTGGAATACTTTAATGCAAGGATTATCAAATTGTGCTCCTGAGGCCCGAAGTTTAGAAAGTTAATCCCTTCGATGGGGATGAGGAAGGTGAGGATTCCCCCCTCTTTTAATGGAGCAACATTGTTTTTTGTTTAAACCAAAAGTTTCACAGGCACAAAGTTGAACACCGCAGTCTTAAGAACAAATCGCTCTAAAGTGGCATTGTAGGCGCTGAGGCAGACTCAGGGGGAAGGATGCCTTTGGCCTTCACCTCACCCAATCATTTGCTTTACCCACAGCAACACTGCCTCTCCCCCCAGCAGACACCAGACCCAGCACAACCAAAGCAAACAGACCTCAAGCAGGCACGCCCCTGCTGATGGTCCTCAGCCTGGGGGTTGCCTAGCAACACGGTGCCAGGAGCCCCAGGGCTCCTGATCTGAAGGAGTGTGGGAGAGCCCGGCCTCACATCACCCTTTTTTCAACATTTGCTAATCTACTCTGGGTTTCCAGCTCCCATTTTGATCAAAAACAGCAGGGACAGTGCTTGGTCAGCCCGACAAGGTCTGCCCCTCTGGTTTGGCCGTGGACCCGTAACACAAAGCAGAGTCTGGGTCTCAGCACCCAGCTGAGGCCATCCGTGTCACCATGCTCTGGGCCAGCCTGTCGGTAACTTGAGCTGCCTGTCCCTTTGGGGCACAGCCTTGGCCTGGGGGCTCCTGGAAGACACTGTCAGGCTAATGATCACAGCCATTTGTGAGCACATGTGACCATCTGTGCTCTTCCCCCCCGACCCCGTAGTTTCCCCTTCAACCCCCACAACCCTTCCTGATAGGATCCCTACTGCACAACCTCCAGCTTAAAACTGTAATCTGCTCCCCTCTGTCCCAGTGACCCCGACATCCTCAATGACTTTTTTCC